CTAAACAATGGGCAAAAAATTCACTCTTCGTTGTGAATAATGATCTGAAGCACAAGGCAAAAACCAAACTGAAGAGGTTTGACAAGAAGAGACTGGATGTCCTTGAGTGTTCCAGTCCCAGTCAAAGCCCAGACTTGAATCCCATAGCAAAGTGATGGAGAGACTTGACAAGTGTGGTTCATTTACTCTGTCAAGGAGAATGGATACAATTACAGCATCCCACAGTGCAAATCCAGTACAGACTTGTCCAAACCTGTAACCTGTGTAATAACTGAGCTGAAAGGAGCACAGTGGTCTAGGCTGGTGATGAATCCTACGTGCAGGCAGCCAGATGAGTGAGCAGGAGGGCAGACAGGCGAACAGGCAGTAAACTGCAAGCAGGTGGGAGACAGTCAGAGAAACAGTCCGGTGACCATGCTGTGGTCATGCAAATGGGATATCAAGGATAAGAAGCAATGTGCACACACAAAAGGAGTATAGTCAGGTGAAGTGAGAAGGTCTGTAGCACAGGAGAGGATCCAGACAAGGTAGAAACTGTCTGGGTCAGAGACAGGGGAAACAAGCGAAGCACAAGGGAGATCTGAAACCTAGTATTAAAGCCTAGTTATGGCTGTATTATACTGCAGTTCATAAGAAAGTTCAGCTTATCTTTGATGACCCCTCCCAACCTCTTCATTCCCATTTCCATGAGCTGCCTGCAGGGAGGTGGTTTAGAAAGCTTGTGGCCAAGAAAAATGTCTACAAGAAATCCACTGTTCCCTGAAAAGTCAGTATATTAAACACAGCTCAGTGAGCTATGGGAATATGTGTAATGGTAGCGGAGCTGGTTTCAGCACGGTGACGTCATCGCCCTCCCTGCGCGTAGCAGGGACCTTGGCCAGCTGGGATTGAAGGAGGTCTCCTTTAGCTCCCTAGGCTGGTTCCCTGCTGCATTACACCGGAGACCTGGGTTCACAATCAGGTGTTGTGGGATGAACCAGTGAGGTGGAACAGCGAGGGCACAGGCCTGTGCATAACCGCGACAGTCACATAATCGTAGTGTAGTATGGGCAGAGCAAGATGTGTGTACTGTATACAATACATATTTTTGCATGCCTAGGACTATTGTTTGTATTTAATATACATAGATTTTATGTTGAATATTGTGTTCTTTTAGTTTTGATGGTGATGCCAAAGACAAATTTCCACCCTTTTGGATGGCAAATAAAGTTATATCTTAACATATAGTGTTAATGAAGTTCAGCTTTTTCTCAGTTCAGTTGCTTCATACAGTAAACTGTGTTCTGTTTCATCTGTCTTCATCTCAGTAGGTCCCAGCTGCAGCAGTGCAGTTGCTGTGCAGTCCTGCTGAGGGAGGTTTTTGTATGGCTGTGTAACACTGTGTGAACACACCACCACTGTGGTAACTCTGACAGTAATAATCTGCTGCATCTTCAGCCTGGACTCCTGTGATGGTCAAAGTGAAGTCAGACCCAGATCCACTGCCACTGAAACGCTCTGGGATCCCAGTCTGACGGGTAGTTGCATAATAGATTAGGAGTTTAGGAGCTTCTCCAGGTTTCTGTTGGTACCAGGATAGGCAGTCATTGCTTGAATAGCAGCTGTATACTGCTGTGCTGGTCTTACAGCTCACAGTAATTGTTGTCCTGGAGTTACAGATATCACTGATGGAGTCTGAGTCACAGTAATCTGTCCTCTGGATTCTGAAAATAATAAAAACATCATTATATTTATATTGTTTATTTTCGTTGCCAGCGTTATATTTTGCAATGTTCACTGTATTATATTTCAATTATATACTCCTGAAAAAATAAAAATAAATAATGAAATAATGTCTTACCCTGAGTGCAGACGATGAGTGTCCAGATGAAGATGGTGATGAAAGTCATTGTGGCTGTGGGTTCTGTTGCCATGAAGGGCAGCTCTCAGTCATGAAGTGTTAAACTCACAGGGCTATAAACACTCCCAGAGCACTGAAGCATGTGCTGCCAATGCAAAGTGTCTCTTCTATGCAAATTGGTTTCCTTGGTCAGTAAACCATAGACTGTTATTATAGCAGTTGCTTAGAGCAAGGAGTTTTTTCTGAAGTATGAAAACAACCTTATTTTATACATACTGTATCTATATTGTAGGACAAAAAGAGTTATGATGTGCTTGAAGAGTGAAAGTTCAGTCTGCACCACACATTGTCTTTCTCTTATTGCAGATAAAAACAAATGACACAGTGGCTGCTATCGCTGCGGCACAGCACTTGAGCACTGGGTTGAATTCCTGTGGTGCTTTCTGCATGACTTTTGTGTGATTTCACCTGGTTCAAGTGGGTTTTCTCCTGGTGCTTTAGTTTCATCCCACAGTCTAAAGGACATACCAGGCTTATTGGCTTCTGGGAAAGTGGTTTGACAATGACCATGTTTGTTTCAGTGTCTGCTGTGTGGTGGATTGCTGTCACGTACTGTACAGGGTGTATCCTGCCCTGTGCTGTTTGCTGGCTGGGATAGACTCTGGCTCCCTCGTGACCACGAATGGGATCAAGCGGCTAGAAAATTGATGGATGGAATATCAATAAAGTCTAACACCGAAACGTGTTTTCAAATGACATAGAATGATAATCATTAATCATCATGAGGTAATAACTCTGTTTATCTGTGGTTATAGTGATCATTTATTTGTATTTTCTTCCCTCAGCCCTGGAAAAACATTTTGAGTGACTCAGTGCTGTCTTTATTCTCTGCAATGTGGGACAGGGTGTAGTCAAAGGATTTTTACAGGTGTTACAATCCTTCCTCCTACCCCTGTGTGATTAAAAAGACCCCAGAGAGGATAAACACTCTAACATAACAAGTGTAGCTGCTACTGGACTGGTGAGATGAGTGAGTCACAAGTTGTGGGAACACTGGAAGAGCAGACATACAAAAGACTTTGAAGACAAGGGAGGACCCACTCCAGATCTGTCCTTCTGTTGTCTCTGTATTAAAATATTTCCCCAAGAAATAAAGTTGCACATGATTTGAAAAAGGGATGAAATTATTTGTTGTTTTGTTTTGAATGTTTCAAAAAAGCATTTAGTAGATGCAAAAAGAGAGAGAACACACTCTGAGTCCTTCCACAGGTGGGATTCAAACCAGAAA